GTATCATCATTTTCTTTTTTTGCAGCTAATGCTAGTGCAAGTCTAGGGCATTAGTTTATGCAAGTTATTTCAATGTGAGAGCGATATGTGGCCGTTAATTGCAAAAATGACTAATAGAGGAGATAACAATCATGATTGAAATAACTTGCATAAACTAATGCCCTTGACTTGCACTAGCATTAGCTGCAAAAAAAGAAAATGATGATACACTATGATCAGATGATTTTGACAGTCTTCAATGATTGTTTATCGAGGAGTACATGTATGAGTTATTTTAATATATTTTTTTTCAATTTGATTTGTGAATACCATGAGATTTAGACCACTTTTTGATATAGAGGTGACCATTGAAGACTGTCAAAAGAAAAAAAAAAGTCATCAACTATTAATGTGAAAGCCTTGAGAGGGCAAGTTTATTTGTTGCAAGTGTTTTTAGTTATGTTTTAGTTTTTTTTTTTCATGTTACGTTAAATTTTTGTATATATTGCTTTTTTAAAAGTGCATATGAGAATAATGATCAGATGAGACAAATAAAAAAAATATCAAACTATATGAAGTTGAGTCTGAATGATTTGATGATACAAACTTCTCACAACTCTTTTGTGATTTGACTGAAATTATTTGTATTGAACTGGAAAATGTTGAGGAAGAGGATAAAAATGTAGAGATAGATGAAAGGATAGTTCCGATGATAATAAGGATGAGGACTGTGAGTATAATATTTCAGATGACTCTAAAAAATTCATAGAAAATAATTGTAGCGTTCATGGAGATGAGTTGTTTAAAAGAAATGACATTCCTCTTTTGAATTCAAAGGTACAACAAGCAATAATAAGAATATTTGAGAATATATTGAAAGTTTAAAGTTTTAATGAAATGTTGGAAAGAAAATGTAATTATGGTGACTATGAATTCCAATGATGAAATCGGTGTTTATAATAACAGAGAAGATGATAGTATTAAGTGATCAATTTTCAATCTCATGAAAGAGTTAAAAAAATATGATATTGTAGTAAAGAAGAATTTAAAGAAACTGTGCAAAATTAGTTAAATGCATGTGGAAAAGATATTTAAGTCCTCAAAAAAGGACAAAGGAAGCAGAGTTTTTGGTAGGAAGCTTAATTTTCCTTTTTATTCGTATATTTTGAAGTACGAGGGAAGTTATCATTGACAAATAAAATTGTTTTAGAAGTACACCTGTTCATGGAATTATAATAACAAGACCCTATAATGTAGGAACAATCTAGGATAGTCCTCGTATATATTTTTAGTCTTCCTTTATGATATCGCTATTTTCTTTTATTTATAAAGTGTATAATGGTCTTTTTTGGATTTTTCAAGTGTATACCTAATTGTCTCCTATATAAGGCAGACTTCTTTAATAAAAAGGGGACTTTTGGGCGATCATTTTTATCTCTTCCTTTGTGCAAAGAGCGGAGTTTTCTCAGGAAACCTATTGTTTGACCTGTAAATAGGGTTCAGTTTTCCTTGGCGGTTTTCATAGGGTCTATTTACTAATGTTCGGGACTGGCGCCTGTTGCAAACAATTTTATTGGTTCCAAGAGGGATATAGCTGCTTAATATGGTGCTTTTTATGTTGTGCTGCTATCATCTTGGTATCAGACAAGCTTTTTTTTCTTGGGTTGTTTGGCTAGAGCAAAAATTCTTCTTGTAACGTCATAACCTAGTTCTAGGAAGTGTGTTCTACAATCCTTTCTACCATTGCAAGAAGTTGACATTGCAGTCCTTCGGCTTGTCCTCTGTCCAATTGTTCGATCCGCCGTTGTGCTAATTTCAGGTTCTAAAAATACCACCTCGTCGAAATCTTGAAAGATTTAATCAAGCAATCATGGTGGAAGAACTAAAACAAAAAATTCAGCTTTTGCAAGAAAGACTTGTTGTTCTTGAACAAGAAAATTATGGAAATCGAAGACAAGAAAATGGTGTCGACGAGGCAGTTGAACAAAAATGAAAATCTTTTCTTTCGAGAGATATCCGATGAGGAAGATAGACCAATTCGTAGCTATAGGGGAATACAACCTTGCCAAAATTTAGATTTTAGGATTAAGGTTGATATTACTGATTTTGATTGAAAATGAGATTCGGAAGAATTCATCAATTGGCTACAAACGATGGAGCGAATTCTTGATCATAAAGAAGCGCCACAAGAACATGTGGTCAAGTTGGTGGCAATCTAACTAACAAAAAAATCATCATTTTGGTGGGAGAACTTGAAAAGAACAAGACAAAGATTTGGGCGATCAAAAATTACAATATTGGATAAAATGAAGAAAGAATTACAAAGAAAATTCTTACCGGAGCATTAACGACAAGAAGATCTTTTAAGTTTACATAATATCCAACAACAATATTAACACCGAATATATCTCTTCTCGGTGACATGGCTAGGGCTCGAAATCAGAAAGCAAAAATTTGGTGGAGACTTGGGTAAGTCGGATGCTATCCAAGGATGGGACTAAGGTTGAACTTGGCTTGATACCAAATGATACCAGCACTAGTTAGAGTTTAGCGGCACAAAAAAAAAAAAAAAAAACATTTTATTAATATAAAAATAGGGTTACAACAGGACTCAGCTAGAAAAGAGAGTACGACAACATACTAATCTCCAATTAGGGTTATAGAAAGAGATCCGAAGGCGGTGGTGGGAAAAGTGGGGAAGGCCGGGTGGCTGTTTTGGTAGGTTGGGATGGTGTTTGGTGGGTTGTAGGTGAGCTAGACAGCAGGGTTGTGGTAGGAGTAGAGGTGGCAGTTGAGTGGAGGAGGGAGATGGGTGTGGTCGGCGGTTAGGGAGGAGGTTCATGGAGAAGAAGAGAATGATATAGGGAGGATACAATACCACCCTGCAGCAGGATACAACCAGAGCAACAACTGTCGTCGCATACGACCCTAGCAAGCGGTAAGAGGACTCTACACAGGAAATCTGAAGATAACACAACCAGAACTGACCCGTGCACACCAAGTATAGCAATTTATAGACTCTTATTGGACAAAAGAAACTTCTACACAGAAGGAAGGGTGGGAAGACAAAAAGAATCTAGACAACACTTCCTAAATGAAGACGAACACCAGAGGAAGTGCTTCAGCCAACTGCGATGGTTCGCGATCCCTCTTCTGCCTTCGTGATGCCTTTCCCGCCCTCGCTGGTTCACGATTCTTCTTCCGCCCTCAATGGTTTGCGGTGTTTTTGTCCCTTGCGTGTTTCAAGCGCCTTGCTTCAAGGACGCTTTCGGTGCCCGCACACGGGCACTGTTTTAGCGCCCTCGTCAACTTGGCTATGAATTTATGTTTACATTTGCAGCTATATGTGGATCCAAGTAGAATATGTTATGATTGTTGAACTGTATATACGGGTCAAATCCAGGGCTATCTTTTCATGCAACATGCTCTCTTTTTTCTTAAGTAGTCTATTAGCATTGGTGGCTTCATAGTTAGTTTATTCTCATCATTTACTAAGCAAATTTTTGTCACATATCCTGTGCTTGCAGGCAATTGACCCAAGAACTAGAATGGTGTTGTTCAAAATGTTGAATCGTGGAATTTTTCAAAATATTAATGGTTGTATTTCTACTGGTAAAGAGGTAAACATTTGATTCATTCTCTCTTCTTTTGCTTCCAATGCTTTCATAAGTTTCTTTTTAGGACTATTTACATACATACTACTCAATTCTTGTGTATTTACATATCTAACACATAAACTTCAATTTTTAAATTAGAGACGTTCCACCTTCCCTATGCATGAAAAGATGTATATCACTTTTTAACAGTTAAAAAGGTGGCATTTTTTTTGTATTATGAAAGATCTGGGTGGTATAAATGTAAAAATTAAAGTTTACGTGTAAAAATTAAAGTTTACGTGTTAGATATGTAAATGCATAAGAATTGGGTGGTATGTCTGTAAATTCCCCTTCTTTTTAATGCCCATTGATTGTATTAAATAACTGTGGCATAAAAGTGAAAGGATTTACTCAGATGAATCAGTTTAATCTACTTATTAAATTTGCAATTGGTAAATACTGACTTCGGAGTTGTTGTTGCATGCACGACCACTATGTACAGGCAAATGTGTATCATGCAACAAGGGCTGATGGCCAGGAATTGGCAATCAAAGTGTACAAAACTTCTGTTCTTGTTTTTAAGTAAGTTTGATTTATTTTTCTTCGGATCACCTACTCTTATGTTAGTTATACATGTTTACTTTATTGTGCGGGAGGATCATTTTTTTTTTTATGTATTGTTCCTCCTCGCTTGTGTTTTATGAATGCAAATGGACGCAAACAACAGGACACAAACATTTTGGTGCTTCAAAAGTTTATTTATTTTTTAAATATAGCTCAGGATGTTTAATATTCAATATTATATATATGCACATTTCTAATATATACATATATATTTATATTGACGCATGTATGTATAATAGTATGTGCTTGCAATTGATCAAAATTCGCTGCATATGTGAAAATATATGATTGTTATTTTTTGATCATGTGGTATGCAGAAAAATTTAGGAACATGCCAATTTAAAATAATAATAATAATAATAATAATAAAAAGATTTCAAGCGATTATTGAGGATATGCCAATAAGGAAATATGAAATAAGGCTGATTTGATATATGGAAACTTAGAGTTAATTATATCATGTTGAATTTTTTTCCAAAATACTTTTTGACTACGCAAAGAAAAACTAAGCAATATTGTATATTTTATAAGAAAACCATTTAAAGTGTAGCATGTGACGTTGTCTCATAGGACATGAAAGTCTGCTAGGGAACTCTGCCAACTGCATGCAGGAAACCTGCCTTGTGCAGTCAGTCCTCCAACTGCATATTCTTCTAGAAATCAAGATTTGGGTTTAAAATTCTAGATTGACTATATGATTATTGTAATTTCCTTTGCCCATGTCTTTCTATTTTACGTAATACATGTAGTATACTTATATTTTTTTCGGCCTGGTATTAGAGCCACTCTTTTCCGCCTTCCTTTTCTATTATGTACATTTCATACTACTTTAGTTTCTACTTTTTCTCAGAATTCTAAATTATCCTCATCTTTCCTCTTAATCATTTTTTTTATCTAAGCCATGATGATGGTTATGCATGAAATGGCATTGGAAACAAGATTTTCCTCTGGTGCCTTATTTAGCCATTAATTAAGCTCCATTGACAACCAAGAAACATTTTCTTTATTGTCGGTCATCCAATTCAAACCAAAATCACTTGCACAATAAATTATCATTGGTGTGCTTGCTGGAAAAGGTATAACCTTGAATGTCTCAATGCCTAAAATAAAGTTTCACAGTCATAGATTCTGGAATCTGAAACCTCTAATCATCTAATAGGTATGCCTTCTTATTTATAGTTTTTATCCTTTTGCTAAAGATTATACCGTTAGAATTGTCAATGGATCTTAAGTAGTTGTCATTGGGAATATTAACATCCCTAGCTTTCTGGTTTTAACTTATTTCTCTTGGTTTTTTTATCTTTCTTTCAGTTTTTTATTAAACAGCAAAATTACCTAGGATATGAACTATGTTTTTTATTTTGTTCCCACTCATTGTAAATTTAACGATAGACTCGAGAAGGATAATTGGCAAGGTAAAAGAAAATGTTTAGTTTGCATATTAAGTTATTAATAGGCGAGGAAAAATGCTCAAGATGTATCTTTTTTTAATGTAAGTACCATCATATAGCGGAACTTTAATCTTGGTTGCCCAAATTTCATATACTTAAAATAATTGCTATGTTCTCTTTTAATCAACACATTATAGAGTTTTTTAGTGTGCAATTTATTAATTATCCAAAAAAGCTTGAATTTTCTACCCTAGTTATCCTTATAATGCCTCTCAGTCCTTTACAAGTATCCATAGTGGCATCTTGGGCCCATCTTGGGTGAATAATATTATGGGTGTTAGTTGCTTTATATCTTTTGTTGATGACTAAGTATAACCATGTGGATCTTTCTTATGAAAGGCAAGTTTGAAACCAATTCTATTTCAAAGAGAAATTGGAGCTCTTTTATAAAGATTCAATTTTAAACCCAAGTTCAAATTCTTAGGACCAATAACGTGAAAGAACATTTTCATTCTGTTCTTGATGACTATCCCATTAAACCAATAATTATTCATCAAACTATTTGTACCTGTATTTCTCAACATATCCCATTAAACCAAATTCTGTATTTCTCAACATATTATCAAAGAAAAATAACGTACTATTACTTTTATGCATATTTCTCTTCATCAAACAATCAAACTTAAAAGCTATAAATTGTTTTTTATTGGTTACTCTTCTCACCAACAAGGATGCAAATATTATTCTCCTTGTACTAAAAGATATTACGCCACCGTGGATATATTTTCTTCAAATATCAATTCATTGCCAAAATTCATATTTTGGGGGATAACATCAACTCTTTTTTAGTATCAAATTTACCCCAATCCCACTTAAATCTTAATTAATAGTCTTAGTGTTTCGATGACCACATACAACTAGCAAACATTCAAAGGAATTGTCTATTCTAGATGACATAAAAACCTATTATACCTGATAAAGCAAATCATTTCTCTTGAATAAAACTCAATGTTTGACCTAAGTCAAGTTTTTGTGTTGTTGATTCGTCTGTGTAGTGCTTTTTTTCCAATGCCACCTATTGGTACTAAATGGAGTAGTATTGACCTCCAATACAGTTTACAAGGACAATGTAATGTTGATTCTTATGATGACTTAAACATGCTTATTATTGCTCTTAGGAAATGCATAAGTTGATTCAATCACCTAATCAATTTTTGTCTGTGATAAATTATTCCAAATTTCTATTAAATTATTATCTTTAAAGCACAAAAAGTTCAAATGAAATTCATGATGCCTTTGAACTATCTGCTTGGAATCAGGATGTTCATGAAGAAATTCATGCTCTTGAATGAAATTGTGCGTGGATTATTTCAAAATTTTCCGAAAAATATCTATTGGATTCAAATGAATCTTCTATGTAAAATATAAAGACGATAAAGATGTTGGAAGCATCTACTGATACAAAGCAAAATTAGTGGTTAGAAGTTTCATGTAAAATATAAAGATGATGGAAGCATCTACCCATACAAAGCAAAATTAGTGGTTAGAAGTTTCACTTGCGCTTGTATGATTGATTACCAAGAAATCTTTTCACTTTCTAAGATGAACATTATTAGGAAAACTTTTTTCTTACCGTAGATTCTCATTGATGACACTATCAACTATTCGTAAAAATTAGTTTTATAAATGTTCGTTTTGAGGACGACATCTATATGAGAATTCCTCTTGGATTTTAGAGTAAAAGCAATAGGAACTACGTTTGCAAACTGAAATTTGTTTCAAGAGCTTGGTTCAACTAATCACCATTGTAATGAAAGTGCACAATTACTCAAAACTGTTTAATGACAATGTATTTTTTGAGAGATCATCTAATGTTAAGGTTTTTATCCAAGATCGTAGATGTTGATAATATCATTTTTAACAAAAATTGTGAAGAAGACATAAACAGGACGAAAGATATTTTAGCAGCAAAAAATTGAAATTAAGGACTTTGGTTTATTAAAATATTTTGTAGGCCTAGAAATAACAAGATCGAGCTGTTGGGTTTCCATCTCACTATAGAATTTTTCTCTAAACTTACTAGAGGAAATTAGTATGCTTGCAAATGAACCAAACCAAGTCGGGCAGGTGCTTGTTCGAGCTTGATCTTGAATATTAAGAGCTTGTTCGAGTTCAATTCAAGCGTTTAAGACTATATTTGATCTTGGGCATGTTTATAAATACACTGATTGAGCTCGGTTTGAGTGAGATTCGATCTTTGCTCATATATAGATTATCGATCTTATTAATGAGCAACTCGTCTAACAAAATAAATGAGCCGTAATCAAGTCTTTATGAAGTTTTAGTCGAACCTTAATAAAACTTTATAAGGGCAGAGCAACTCGTCTAACAAAATAAATGAGCCGTAATCTTTATGAAGTTTTAGTCGAACTTTAATAAAACTTTATAAGGGCGGCATGTTGGGAAACATAAACGAGTCATATTAAACAATACGCTTTGAGCCTAAAAATAAACATATAAACAACATTGTTCATGAATAAGCTGTTCTGAAGTCCTAGTTGAGCCTTATTCGAGCTTATTTATGAGCTTTAAATGATAATGCTCATGAACATAAATGAACCAAATAACAAACCGTTTAAGCTTGTTTATTTAGTAATCGAGTAAATTAGTTAATCTAATAATTATGAACAAGATTTAATCGATTTGGGTATGAGTAGCTTGTCGAATGTTCAATTCTTTTGCCGCCCTAGAAACTAATATGTTTCTATATAAAATACACTAATGGATCAATAAAAGTTAGGACCATGGAGGATTCTACTTCAGTCCACAAAAGTAGGTAACGATATTTAATATGTAATCTTATATACTAATCTCACATTATACTTGATGCATGCTTTTCTGTTAGTGTCGTTAGTTTATGAATAATTTCATAAGGGAGTAACTTGATACTGATTAGGCTGGAAAATTATTATTTTTCAAGATGGTGACTAACATTAATGCCGAAACCTTTACTGATACTAATTTGGATATGTTTATAACTGGTCATGAATCCACATCAGATCGTTGCTCATTCATATGTGAAAATGTATGATTATTATTTTTTTGATCATGTGGTATGTAGAATAGTAGATGTTTAGATTCGACTTATGCTAAGAAAGATAGAGGTAGACCTAGAAAAACTTAAGCATATTGTATAAAAAATGATCTTAATTTATTAGAATTAAATGAAAATATGACCCTAAAAGGACACAATGGTGAAAAATGATTCATGTAGCCGACCCCACTTGCTCACTTGAAGGTAAAGTGTTGCCATCATCTCATGATTGCTCAGCCTTTGTGATCGAACACCAAACCTGTACAAAAAAAAGTTAGTTCCTTTCATAGTCCAAAAGAAGATGACAGTTATCATAGCCAGATGACCGCCCAACTCTTCATTATCACAAGGCCAAATGGCCTAGATGCAACTAACCACTCCTTCAAAGATTCGTATACAACAAAGTTGAGACCAACATATGGAATAACTCCTATGATAGATGGAAGACAACCCTTGAACAATGCATGGAAGCCCTCTTCCCCGTAAACTATGACTAATTCATGGAACATCCCTCGACGCTGTTAAGGAGATTTCTCGGTATGGACTTTGATGTTGCCTTTGATTATGTCCATAGGATAATTATCGGTCATGACAATAATCCCAACACATGCTCCAACACCAAGTCTTACCACAAGAAAATGTTGTGCATCCTAATTGCCAGTTTGCTGCTTGAAAACCACAAAATCTCTTTGGTTGTTTGTAGTAAAATTTTAAGCCTCTCAAGTGGAGCAACAACAATCCTTGATACTCCTTCGGCGACTCCTCCAATCACAAGCGATGTGTAGACTCAACAATCCTTGATACTCCTTCGGCGACTCCTCCAACCACAAGCGATGTGTAGACCTAAGGATCGCGTGGCTTGTGGTCTCAGCTCCTCTTGCAAGCTTCACCTCCTCAGCCAGGTTCACGATCATCGTAACAACGGTCTCGCCCATGCTTTTTCCCACCACATCTTTTATTGCCATGGAATGCCCTAGAAATCACCAAGCACCTCCAGAGGATATCGGAAAGTGAGGTAAAACTTAAAAAGCTTCGAGCGGGGCGGCGAGGAATAAAGAGATCAGAGCAACCGACGAGGGTCCAAAAAAAGATCCCAAACCGGCGATTTATATGAAGCGGCCTCCACTTCGCGATGCAGTGATGACGGAGACTGGAGGGTGAGAAGGAATAACAAATACAACTGAGATGAGCCGAGCAGAGAATAGGAAGTTTCCGACGGTAGGTGATCTTTTCCTCCATCGAAGACTAAGGATTTTTTCAAGGCTCTGATATAATGTTGAAATTGAGAATAATGCATAATCATTTTATTTATATGAAATGGGGTATGAATAAACCTTACATGAATCCTAGAATAGAAATATAATAAAAAGAAATAATAGGAAATAAAAGATATAATACTTAATATCTCTAATTAATCAATTCATATTAATTGTTTTGGGGCTAAAGGAAATAACATAAAATATGAAAGCCTATAATAATAAAAAAAAAATTCAATCCGAAGAAACACTATATTTCTCATAATTTTTCACGGGAGTAAATTATTTTCTAATATAACTTCTAATGTGTTTTATTAGATCCATTCTTATAAGTATAATATGTTTATCTTTTTTCTTAAATAAAATATTAGCAATAAGAAAATCATATGCTCAAGCAAAATTCAATATTGCTTTGCCTTCTTGATTAATTATTCCAAAATCGTAGTTATTATTAATACTTTTAAAATCTTCTACCACTTTAACACATGTTGATTAAGTTTCTCCAATAAAATTCTTTCTTCTAGAGACATCATTTGTATTAATTCTTCTAGTTCATTCCTTTTTTTTTTGAACATATATATTTAAACCTATTTGAGTAACATAAACACTTATAACATTAATAATCTAGCATCAATAATAATCTTTAAGATTATAATTCTATCTCAAATTTTATTAATTTTTATAATATTATCTTTTAAGTTTTTTCTATAGTTACACCTACAACATTTCTAGTTTGACTCATACCTAAATGCCAAATTTTAATACCTCAACTATTAATATCTTTACTCTTTTCTCAAACTCATTTAGTTTTTTGAATACATAAGATATTTAACTTCATATGAACCATCGTATCTATTGATTCTATTAATTTATCTGTGAGAGTGCAAATGTTCCAAAATCTCATCATAATATTATTTTCATGGACTAACTTCTTTGCTCGCATACGTCCATAATGAAAGATTCCTTGCTTATTTAACATTATACCCAGGCGACGGTGCAGCTGCTCTGCACACCTTTCATTATATCAGGTTATATAATGCATCATTTCTAGGGGATGCTCTAACATTTACACAATTATTTAAAAGATTTATGTCATGATTTTTCAATAAAATTTTGCACGAATTGTCGACTACCTAATACAATCTTCCATTTTTTGCATCCGGGGCTTGGGACCCGACAATGGTAATATTAGTTAGAATAAATAAAATTGCCGGATGATACTAAAAGTTCAAATAAACTCGTAATGCAGTTGTCACATGAGATGGATTTGTCCAAAGCTAAATAGGATAATAATGTTAAAAGTTTGTTTCATAAAAAGTGTGGCATTTGCATCTCTTTTAGAAAATTTAATAGTCACTGCTCTGAGACAGCATGGGAGAACTGAGGGAGCACTGTTGAGGCTAGATTTTCGTGCCACTGTAAAGGAACCATTTGAATCAAAAGAACATCTACACGTATGCATTTGCATAAATGCATAATTAAATATAATTATCAAAAACATGTTGAATCAAAAGAACATCTACACGTATGCATTTGCAAAATAAATGCATAATTAAATATAATTATCAAAAACATGTGATTGTTGCCAGAGTTAAGTGTCATGTATAATTTATAAATATGGATAAGCCTCAAGGTGGGATGATAAAAATCAGAGGGTATTCAGAATGGAAAACAATGAGTTTATCACGAATGATATGATTTTATCAGTGTGAATGTTTTGATTATTTCAACTATAACCTAATTATTTTGTCCATTCTTAGAATTATCTTATTTTGTATTGCATATATGTGCTCTAGTGTGCGAGCATATGTGATTTGGTTTTCTCTTATCACTTGTAATCATGTTTTCTTCTCACTCCAGGGATCGAGATCGATACGTGCAAGGTGATTACCGATTCAGACATGGATATTGTAGGCATAACCCAAGGAAAATGGTAAAAACTTGGGCTGAAAAAGAAATGAGAAACCTTATGCGGTAAGGGAAGCTTTTTACATCTTGTTATTTTACCTTTTGCAACATGAAGTTGAAGTTTAGTTACTCTTGATGAATCTTTTCATTGGCGATCTCTGGGAATTTAATACATCCATCAAGCTGAAATTAGGCATATTCTTACTGCCATTGAATGGTTATGGTATCAGATGAGCAACCTAATCACTGTCATTTAATGATATTGGTGTGTTAGCATTATCTTTTAAGGGACATCTTTTATATTCTATGCTTGCCTGTCTACTATTACAAAATTAAATGATTGTTTTATCTTTAAAATTCCACAACATTTTTTTTTGCCATTTTTTTGTGTAGATAGATCGATTCATTATCACTTTTTTCTTTTGTTGGATGAACTTATTATTGAGATAAGCTATATATGATTATGCTTTCTAGTTGGTGTTTACTGTATCTTCTTTGGAGATGTTGATGATGACTATTGTGATGCTATTAGAAAATTCAAAATGCCTCGTATTTCAAGTCCAATATGTAATTTGTTTTTCAAGTTTCAAATTCAATCCATATCTCCAGATTACGGGCAGCTGGGATCAGATGTCCAACTCCGTTTCTTTTGAGGCTTCATGTTTTGGTTATGGACTTCATCGGTAAAGCTTATTTTTGCGTTTACAGTTTGTTCTTTTTGTTATCTTGTTGTATATGTTATTTTCTTATTTTATGTGATGAATTCATTTTATTCTTTTTCATGTTAAGGGGTCTTCCTTGTTCTCTGCTTAAATGATAAAGCATCTCGCACATTTAGGAATCCTAGGAGCTATCATCTAATTGCTTCGAATTTGACCAGTTTTGACTTAATTCGGGAGCTTGGAGTGTTGAGGGTGGAACAATCGGTTGAATCGATATTTATTTTTCGATGTAAATTGATATAAATTAAAGTACTTTATCAACAGTCTACAATAAAATTTTCCAAACAAATATTCCAATAAACAAAAGAGTCATTGTACTACACATTATGCCAAAATGACATGAAGATCCAGCTTTTTATCTATAACATATACAAAATACATTATTGTATATATATAGTCTACGAGTAATTATTATCATATGATTTCTATGATGTAAATAAACTGTCTTCTATCACTTATTTATTATTTAAGAGACTTTCCTGAAAAATATTTACCACATCATGGTTGTTAGTTATATAAATATATTTGTTTGTTTTTTAAAATTTTAAACAATAGTAATCCAAAGGAACTAATAAAACTATATGAAAATCTTAGAACTTGACCTTTCAAATCAAAGACAATTTTGATCATAATCATCTATGTTTTATTAAGGATAAGAATAGGAAAAAGGAATAATAGCATTCAATTAAACATATTATCATGAACCTGGTAAAAATTTCATATAAAACAAGCAATGTAGAAGTATTGTCTCATTGTAACTTTTATCGTTTGTCATTGTCAATATCCTTTTTCCAAACTATCCTAACACCAAGGTAAGAGAAGGTAATGAATCTTCCAGCATGAGTATAAGTTTCTCCTTCCAGTTCCATAAGGTGATGATGTCATCTTTCAACTTGCATCTACAGGCATTTCTATTTAGAATATCCTTTGCTTTCATCAATATGTATTTCTGAGAACAATTTGCATAGGATTGCATATGATTTACATAAGCAATTGAAACTGAAAATGGAGATATTGATATGATTGGACATCAAAATCAACACGCTTTTCAACAGAGATTAGGGAAAACACATATTTTCTTCAATAATCCAAACAACTTACTTGAATACAATCGATAAGAATCTACAATTCGAGAGTTAGTTAATCTCTCCCAATTTCTAGAATTCGATAGGTAGAAAATCTCTCCCAAACCCTAAACTTAAGATTTACCACTCAATCTAATGCATAAACCTAACCATAGATATAACAAGTCAATTTATACCCAACAATAATAATAATAAAAGACTAAATTGTTCTTATACGTACAAAAGACAAATTTGCTTTAGATTAGGCGCCAACGTAACAATACTCTACCCTACCCCAAAGATACATTATCCTTAAGGTGAAAAAAAGTGAGTCTTCTTCCTCCCCCACAATTGTCTTTATTTTTTCATTCCTGCCTCCTCGTCATGCACTATGATAACTTGTAGTTTTTGATCATTGCAATGGTGTCCTGAGGTAAACTTTTCATCACACTGAAAACATAATCTCTTGTTTCTCTTCTCTCAAATCTCTATTTTTGTACGGATTTTTGAGTGTTGCTTCTGAACGTGTCCATTATTCGTGTCTCGTGCAACCTCCCTCTAAGTTTCCACTGTTTGAGCTTTTTTGCATCGTCGTGGTTGTAACAATTCGGTATGACGCTTCATCTATGTTACTCCTACTAACCTTTTTCATAAGATTTTTGTCCTCTACCATTTGAGCTAGCTCCATCGTCTTCCTCAATCCCCGCGGCCTCAATATTCAGATTGATGCTTACTACGCTGGCGCTAATTGTGGCTGTGTTGTGAAGACAAAGTGACAACAGGAGAAGGGCATGTACAGATGGAATTTTTGGTTATTTGTATGCCACAATCACGTAGTTACTTTTAGCTTGGTTGCGGCTGAATCTCGAGGATGGAGCGAAAGGAGGAGAAAAGGTGCGACTTGTCGCTGTAAGTCGTGATCTCGTAGTTGTAGCCATAATGGCAACTGCTTCGCATAAGTACGAAGCAAAAGAAAGTGAGTTTCGGGTCTTGGTATGTCCTGATTCTTTCCAGTTAGCTCCAATCGTGACTGTTTTGCCAGGTGAAGTCACATAATCATCTGTATGTCGTGATCCTTTCCCACGTAGCCATCCTTCCTGATAAAATTGCAACTGTCCAGCTCTGCTTTGTTGCCTTTTTCACAAGCTTTAATCGTGACTGTTTCACGATCTCAAGTGTTGTTTCCCTGAAATATTGCACTGATACCAATTTGATACGATCCGACGTTAAAATCAAAACACTTTTCAACAGAAATTAGGACAGACGCAAATATTTTTTTCAATAATTCAAACAACTCATGAATGCAAATGATAAACACCTACAATTCGAGAGGTTGGCGATCTCTCCCAATTTCTACAATTCGAGGGTGGGAAATCTCTCTCAAACCATCAACCTAAGACTCACTAGAAATTGCTCTTATGCATACAAAAGACAAATTTACCCATAGGCGAACATAACAAACATGTACATCATTCATAGCAATATAAAAGATTATTTGCATTCAAAGAGAGAATCATTGCTTGTGCATATAAATAACATGAATCATAAACGTCTCAAACAAATGCATGAGACTTAGGAGAAGAGGATATTACTCTAATTTAAAAATGAGATTACCCACCTTAGCCTTAGAAGTGTTGGTTGTTAAATCTGCCCTCAAACATAATATTTCTTACCTTTGCCTAGAAGCATATATACAATCTCTTGTAAATATTTATATGAGCTAACTCATCCTTTGGTTTTCGCTCTTTGTAGTGTGTTATTCTCTTGAAAACTACTACTTAAAAGACATTATTATCCCACATCTAGAAAATTTTATCTCAATTTTCTACACCAAGCAAGCATTAAAGCCTAGAAACCCCATAATTAAATATACAAATTATCCAAATTTTTAGATTTTTTAACTCTGCACCTAATAATATTTGGTCAAAATATACAATAAAAGTTACAAGTTTTTTCTCCTATGCAAATTAAATAATCAAATATTGTAATTTCCTTTAGTAAATGTTTCTTCTTCTTCTACCATGTCAAATATTCAAGAACTTAAATTTCAGTTTTCATATTTCTTTCTATGCATCAAACCATTAAGCTCTATAAATTCTTAAATTATGTTTTTATCATCATCTCATACATAAAATCTAAATCCATGGTCTCCTAAATAAATCTTAAGATAAGGAAAGATGAAATTAGGTTAAATTTTATCTTTTATACTGACTAGGAAGAGGAAGAATAGGGCTCTAAAATCTCCTTTTCCTCCCCAAAACAACTTGACGCTAGGCGATGACATGTTTGGTTGTCTTCACCCACCAGCATGCTAGTTATCTTGGCTTGCCTTTTTTTGCACTGGTTGTCTTCCAATTGTCATCTTTGTTTGCTTGTGTGCTTTTCTCTGCCCACTTTCTGACTTTTTCGCTCTCTCACTTTACTCGCTCCTTCTCTACCCCTTACTCATTTGCTCTCTGTTTGTTGTTCTTGTTTGCCCTCCCTCTCTCATAATATCAGTAAACATCATTACCCTTAACATTGGCACTCGATAATCTAATGGATATACATGTGTTTTGATAAATGTATTCTTAGTGTGTGGCGTGTGTGTGTGCCCCCCCTCCCCCTCTCTCTCTCTCTGTGTATATATATATATATGTAAACATACTCTACATTCTTTTATTCATCTCTCATCTTATAATTTGCCTATTACAAAATGAAAATTTTTTATTATATCTTCTTACATTAGATTTCTCGTGAAATAGTCTTTTATATAACTTAGTGATTATTCATTTATCTCAAGGGAATTCACCATTTATTATTATTTCATTTTAAGCGTCTCAATTAAATGTATAATGTATTTACAATGTTTTTATTATTGTTAATATTAACCTAATCAAACAATTAATTCTTTTTTGTCTTTATAATCTAAAATGATTAAAATTATACAAGGTTGTTGATAGCATTCCCACATCTCGGTCTCCTATTTAGTTTCTTGTTCTATTCCTAGCTTTCAAAGTATTTTAACATAAGGTATCTCCCAATTTAAATATTTTCTCATTATAATACAATATATATATTCTATGGTTCTTCCATCTAAGGCACTATTTGGTAGCATCTTATTTTATGGATGTAGTCATGGATTTAACTTAAACCTAACTAAACACAAAACAAATAAAAATTAAATCCAACGCTTCGTTAAATCTAATTTTCATGAGTTCCGTCTTCTTCGATCGTTTTGTCACTCATACGACATAAATCCAGATTTACTCTACGAGATGGATTTATTCCTCCGCCTGCGCCGTCGTTCGCGAGCAAAATCGTGATTTGATAAATCTGATAAATCCTATTTAACGTAAATCAAAGTTGCATCCAAACACCTCCTAAGTAAGATTAATCTAGATTCCTATGTAATATGTATAAATTGAACTTGATTTCTTAAATACATGCTTTTGAAGTGAGGAAATTAGAAGGGCTGTATATATTTCATAAATATGATCTCAATTTGTTTGCTACTTTTTCAATATTTTAAATAATTTCAAATGAAGCCATATATCTTGGAATTAGCTTCCAATCTTCTCAAATCGAGTTACACTCTTCAATGTACTCACCTTTAAAAACACAAATTTAACTGTATCAGATTTTACTAATTTGTACTTAGCATCATAATATTTCTTCTGTTTATATTGTACTATTCTAAATCTATATAAAAAAGGTCTTATTTTATCTATGGTGTTGTTTACAATATGTGAACTCATTATTCCGATACTTTATTTGTATTTGTCAGCATAAGTAAATTCGATAAAATGTATGTTTTGTTACGTATCCTCCACTTTAGTCAAGGACACATCACTTTTTTGGGATGAAAAGCTATAATTTTGATATGAAATTGGCATCACCGTAAAAAAATTGATTTGCACATACTTTCCCATTTGGATTGAACATTGGATTAGTTATGTAGGTCAACAACAATATGCTTGTTGTTCATCATAAATTAAACTGCAAAAAATCATAGAAATTGAATTTTTATATCTGTTAATGATAATCATTTATATTTAATTAAATGATGAGAATAGAAAGGGAGTCCTAACATTCAAATGAACAACATCGACATGACCTATTTCAAAATGAACTATAACTAGAGTATGATTTAATTGTCATTTAAAGTACGTTATTATCACTATCTTTCTCCCAAACCTATCTCAACTAGGAGTGTAAACGAGTCGAACATGAGTGAGCCCGGGCTCAACTTGTGTTTGGCTCATTAAATAATGTCATTGTTTGTGTTCGGATTCAGATCATTTATATTTCGTACACAAAATTTTTTTTTTTGTTTGGTATGTTTTCTTAGCGAGCCCAACACGAGTTATTCGCGAATAAAGAGCTGTTTTGATAACTCTAATCACGAGGCGTAAGATAATTGTCATTTAAAGTACGTTATTATCACTATCTTTCTCCCAAACCTATCTCAACTAGGAGTGTAAACGAGTCGAACATGAGTGAGCCCGGGCTCAACTTGTGTTTGGCTCATTAAATAATGTCATTGTTTGTGGTCATTGTTTGTGTTTGGATTCAGATCATTTATATTTCGTACACAAAAATTTTTTTCATGTTTGGTATGTTTTCTTAGCGAGCCCAACACGAGTTATTCGCGAATAAAGAGTTGTTTTGATAACTCTAATCACGAGGCGTAAGATGTTAAGAATAGGGGCGAGATTTAAATTTTTTTATTTGTATTAAAACATCATTTAAATATAATTTAACATATTTTTATTCTATTTTCTAATTAATAATTTTACTTGATTATAAATCTTTGTAGACTTGCTGGCAATTAAACTATTTAAAAACACTACTCATCAATTATATATATATATATATATAATTATTTACTCAGGACATTAATCTTTTTTTTTTTAAATGTTTCGTATGAATAGGGCATCATCTATTGGGCCCTCTCATACAACTTTTTGTATACTTTTTTATTTCAATATAATCTGCCCTAGAGCTTCATAATATATATATATATATAATTTCGAGTCAAAAAACTGAACACGAACGAGCAAATCTTTGTTCATGTTCAGCTCGTCTATATATCGAGCGCAAAAAAATTGTTCATGTTATATTTGTTTGCTTGGCAAACGAACCAAACACGAGCTTCCTAATTAGTCGAATACGAACTGTTCGTGAACAACAAGCCGCTTTGACAACCCTAATCCCAACACTAAGGTGAGGGAAGACAAGAAAACCTCTACCTACAGAGGTTCAGAAAATCGGGCCGAAGATTGAACCTGCATATGAGGAGGTTTGAGATTCAAGGTTCAATGGTTGAATAGACGACGTTGTAAATATAAAAAAATTATTAAATATAACTTAAATGAAAAAAAATTAGATGGAATTCAGTATGGAAGGTTAATAAGAGGGAAACATAACAAAAAAAAAAGCGTAAAAAAAAAAAATTAATAGACTACTAGTCATGCTTATTTCACTAAAGGTGAAGAAAATGAAGCTTAGAACGATTAGAACAAGACATATTCTTTATGATATCAAAAGATTCAAAGTATTCTTCATGATTTCCAAGAAAAATGTGGCATAGGATAAAAAATTATACTTTAACCCGTTGCCCGGTTTGGCCGCCAATTTCAGCCAGTTGATTGGTTTGATCGCCGGTTTGACCGCCAATTCCATAGGATAAAATATTCTTTGCATTCTTCTAAACATCCAATGTCTAATTGTAAGAAAAATTGCATTGGATTGTATTTGATTCAGATAAATTATTACACCGAAAATGGAGATGAATACATCATTCATAGCAACAGCAAAGATTCTTTTCATTGAGAGACGGAAATCATTGATCTTATTCATAACAAGAGACAAAAATATCCCAAATGAATGCATTAAGTTTAGGGGGAAAGAGTATTACTCTAATTTAGAATTGAGATTACTCATCTTAATGTCTGAAGATTTGGTCATTCGATCACTCCATGCTCATCACCTTTCCTAACTCCATACCTATAACCCTATATATAATCTCATATAAAAATTGATTTTAGCTAATTCATAAATGTTTTTTAGCTTTTCTATTTTTAATAATTTTTTGGTGATTAAAACTCTTAATAAAAATACATTATCATCCTTAAATAAATGCTGTATATTAAATTTCTGTATAATCAAGCATTAAAACTTAGAAATCCCTTAATTAAATATACAAATTATCTACTATTTTAGGTTTATTAGTTTATTTTATTAGTTTTATTATCTTAAAACCCTAAAAGTTTGATATTTCTTCTTCTACACAAATCAAATATTAAGTCTCTAAAATTCTCATAACTAAAGATTTCATTTTCTCTTACCATATCAAATATCCAAGGATTGGAAGTTCAATTTTTTGATTTCTGCTTATGCATCAAATTATCAAACCTAATAAATCCTTAAATTAATTTGGCATCATCATTCTTATGCACAAAATTTAAATCTCTAGTTTCCTGAATTAATTTTTTGGAGAAAAAAATATATGTGAGCTATGTTGAATTTTTCCTTTTGTACTAAAAAAAGAAAAAAAAAGGAAGAGAAGAGCTGTAAAATATTCTGGTGCTCCTTCCCAAAACAACCACACGCTTGGCCACACCTTGCTTGGTTACATTCTTTTACTCGATTTCTAGCTGCGGTGCCTACCTGCTTGCATGTTTGACTGGTATTTCGTTTGCTTACCTCTTTTCTCTTGCTTGTTCATTTTCGCTCGCTAACTAGTTTTTTTATCGACTCTTTTAACCATTTGATTTTCTTTCAAACTCATTTCTTGTACAAATTAGTAATTAAAATTTTTCATAAATAAAATTGATTTTATTAGTCACTTCAGTTTAAACATTTCAATTAAATTTAAACTATATTCATTCTTTTTTTTTTATTTAATATTAACTTTAATATTAATCTTTCAATTAAGTAATTAATATTTGGGTCTTTGCATGAGTTATCATCATCCTGCTCAACTTGCCGGATGCTCTTATTTGATGCAGGTAAAACTGGTTGGGCTGCTCCTCGACTAAAAGATGCCAATTTATCTGAAGACAAGCTGCGTGAAAGCTACCTTGAGGTTGTTTTCTAGTGTTTACTACAACGGTTATGATGTCTGTGTTGTTCATTTTACATTTTTTACATTTCTTTTATATATATATATATATCAATCAGACCCTGATTCACCCTGATTCACAGATAATTGGTATGAGATTATCGAGCATCCAAATGCAGATTATTTCTCCTTCAAAAATAAAAAACATGATTTTCTGTTCGAGGCATTCCTTATTTAATATGCTAAGCATCTAATGATTTTTTTTTTCATTAGTTTCACCCCTTAATTATTACACAAATTTCTATGGCTTTTCTGTATTTTAAATTTATTTAAATGACTTGTATAAGCTTGGTTGGTGATTTCTTTTATCAAGTATCATCAAAGGATTTTTTAAAATATAGCTGGATTAATAATTAAATTCCAAATCGAGTACTGGAAGGGATGCTTTTTTGGCTATAATGTACCATTATAAAAATCTGCAGTTTTCAATAGTTGGGTTGTTAAGAATTGAATAATACTTAACATGATAAATTTATTTTTTTAACTTTGTAGTCTGTCAAAAGCTTCTGTCTACGAGCATATGACACCTTTACCCTGAGTAATTTTCTCATTATTATAGATTTTTGTTAATATTGTCAAATGATTAATTCAGTGCCTGTCCTTGGAGATTAAAAAAAATCCAATTAATGATTAGTGGGCTCTGCCATAATTATGCTTCCCCGTTATTTCTATAATGGTTTCTGATGACATTAAGGTTTTGTATGATTCTTCTGCTGATTTCAATGGCTAACAATTTTCTTTCTAGATTATTATGACAATGCGGACATTGTACCAAAAATGCAAGTTGGTGCATGGAGATCTTAGTGAGTATAACATACTGTATTTTGAGGTATTGCTAATGATCTGTGCCCTGCCATATGACTCAGTTCAATTTGACGCGCCTTGAATAATTCAACTTCACTATTTTTCAGGGGCACTTATACATTATTGATGTTTCTCAGTCAGTAGATCTTGATCATCCCTCTGCATTAGATTTTTTACGTGAGGACTGCCTCCATGTTTCAGTAAGGGGATTATTTCTTGAAAGATTTACATACTTTCCAGTCATTTCTTATGCATTTACATATCTAACACCTGAACTTCAGTTTTTACACACATGCGACCTGTATTTCTTGAAAGATTTACATACTTTCCAGTCATTTTTTATGCATTTACATATCTAACACCTGAACTTCAGCTTACCTATGCACGAAAAGGTGTATTTCACTTTTTAAAATAAAATGGGTGGTATTTTTTATGTGATGTGAAATATTTGTGTGGTATAAATGTAAAGCTAGGTGTTGGATATGTAAATATATATGTATTGGGCGGTATATATGTTATTTTGGTGTCTCTATTGTCAGTTATAAGCTCTCTTTGAATATTTATATGCTGTTGTTACAGGATTTCTTTAAGAAACATGGTGTTACTGTCATGTCAGTTAAAGAACTATTTGATTTTATTATTGATACAGCCATTGGTGAAGACGATGTTGATGATTACCTTGATAAGGTAATTTATCGTTTACCTGTCACCACTGGATTTGACTTGGCACGCCATTTGCTGTTTTGTGATTTATATATCATCACATTATGATATTAGGCACAGCAGAAAATTATGGAGAGAGGAGACGTGGCAGAAGATGATTCTGTTTCACCAACCGTCTACGTTCAGGTGAGCTTCTGAAATCTTGTGAACGACCTTTTTCTATTCTTCTGATACATCATATTTCTTCAAGTTTTTGATAGCCAATTAAATATTGTGAATGTTTTGTTTATTAGTATTTAAGGCGTGTTTTGGTAATAATCTTTAGTTGTTTATATTGTTTAAGGAGCATTTACGTACATATCACTCAATTCCTATCTATTTACATATCTAACACACCTAAACTTTGCTTTTTACAGTTCTATCACTCCAATCTTTCAGATCACATAAAAAATAACACTTTTTTAACATTTAAAAGGTGAAATATACCTTTTTCAAGCATAATTAATGTGGCATATATGTAAAGAAAGAAGTTTAGGTGTTAGATATGTAAATACATAGAGATTAATGTATTTGTTCTTAAAAAGGACTTGTCGGTTTCCATTGAAGGTTTTGTTTTGAGTTCTCCATCGATCGAGCTCCTCGTCTAGCTCCTCGCTTCTCCTCCTATATTCAGCCGAACGTCTCTGAAACTTATAATATCTACGGTTAATAAGTTCTCTGTTATGTCTGTTTATATTGCTCTTCTAAACTTGTAAATGGTCTAAGTTACCCTCAGTCATATTTACAAGTTTGTCATTCATGTAGTCTATATAACAGGTTGAATGTAATTGAAATATTAAGGTGTGATAATACAGATCATTTCTTCCCTGTTTCTCTTCTTTTTCTTTCTCTTTCTCTTCTGTCATTTATGGTATCAGAGCAGTAGCTTTCCTGCAGCCTTCAAGATTCATGGATTCCCCATCCTCAATCTCTCCCCACCTCATTAACACATCTCAAGAATCCCTCAACAAAATGAAAGACACCCACATACTTGATGCAACACATCAAAAATATGACGAACACTCCTCTCATTTTTGAAAACTATGCCGTTTGGAAGGTAAAAGTTCAAAAACTTCTTCTTACCAATGGCTTTGGATCTTTCCTTGATAATACTATTTCCTCACCACCAAAAGAACATCAAAATTCCACGGGTGTAATCATAGAAAACTCAGATTATGCTCTATGGAAACTCACTGACCAAAATCTGGCTGCTGCCCTTTTCTCAATCATTTCACCATCTGTTTTACCCTATATCTTGTATTTAACCAACGCAGCTGAAATATGGGATACTCTTGAACGACCATTTCAATCCACAAATCGCTTAAGAGTAATTCAACTCAAACACAAACTTCATAACATTCATATGGGCACACAAAACTTCACCCAATACCTCATTTCTATCAAAATTCTGGTTGATAACATAGCTATTGCCTGCTCTAAGATAGACAATGAGGATATTATCATATACATCTTGAATGGCCTTCCCCAAACCCATCAACCCTTTAAAGCCGCTGTCCGAACCCAGTCAACAGCCTTGACTTTGGAAGACTTACACTTTTTACTACACAGTGAAGAGATCAATCTTGCTAATGAGCCTTAAAATCAACTCACACCACAGCTCTACTCTCCTATAAGAACAAAAATTCTTACTCCTAAAATAGATCTCTCCAAGAATCAACAAATAAATTCTTACTCCTAAAATAGATCTCTCCAAGAGTCAACAAATAAAGAAATCTGTTCCTCACAATAACACTCCAACACATAAATCTGTCACAATATGCCAAATATGTCATAAGAAGGGCCACTCGGTGGATCTATGCTGGCATTCTTATCACAGAAAATTCTCCAACTGAAATTCAAAAATTAATACAAACATCAGGACTTTAATTTAACTTGAAACAACTAGGTCACCTGTCAAATTTCTTAGGTCTACAATAGATAAAACAAATAACGGTTTTTTTGTACATCAACAAAATAATTATCAAATTTATTAACTAAATCAGGAATGATGCAAGCAAAAGCTATTTTAAGTCCTTTACTACTTCATCCTTTCAAAACCTCTCTTTCTTCACAATCTTTGTCAAACCCGCAGCACTATAGGCATCTTATTGGAGCTTTATAATATCTCGCAGTAACCATACCAGACATCACATTTAGTGTCAAATTTTTAAGTCAACAGATGCATAAACCTCACAATACTCATTTGCAACTGCTTAAAAGGCTATTGTGTTATCTCAAAGGCACATCCAATTATGATACGCCTATTACCGCTGGGTCTCTCTCCCTCTCTGCATACACTGATGCAGACTGGGTGAGCGACAATAGTGACAGAAAATCTACTACGGGGTACTGCATTTATCTCGGACCCAACTTAATTTCTTGGTCATCAAAGAAACAAAAATGATTGCCAGATCCTTGACAAAAGCCGAGTGCCGCGCATTAGCCACTACTATAGTAGAAATCTTTTTACTTCAAAG